CCTTTATATTATGAGTTCTCACAGTGTCTAAACCGCAACAACACTACCGTTCACGTCGGATTGAGCTTGACGAATTTTCCGTTGGTGCATAATCGTATGCCGTTACCTCAAGCCAGATTGGTTAATCCTGTTGTCACCGCGGCCTTTTAAAAAAAGGCCAACAACGCCTACCCGGCTACGGTTTATATATTATTATATATGTGTGTGTGTGTGTTTGCATTGAACGGGGTGACACGTAATTTATTTTTTCTCTCTGTGAAAAAAACTACCTTTAGGAGAAAAAAAAGAGACGAAATTCGTAGGTATACGTTGTATGTTCCGGCTAAAGCTTTTAATTATATAGCCGCGGGAGGATTTGATTGCCGTCCGTACTCAGCGGTAGCGACGACGGCGGAAGAGAAAAAAAATCGTTTTAAATCCATTTTCCGTACAACAGTATAAGAACAACGACGCCAGCGAGATAAGATGGTGTTTTTAATTAAAAATTAAAGACGATGGTAAACAACTGTTAAAATTTGAGATCTATGAGCTGTCCAGTATTATTTATTATACTTAATATAATATGCTACACAATATTAAATAAGTTGAATCGTGTGGTACACCTGATAGGTATTATATATATATCACAATTGCATAATTTTATTCGTTTTTAAGTAAAATAATATTCACAGACGCATTTCATGAGATTATCAAAGGCTTTCCATGATGATTACAAATTTATTATTTGAAAATATTTCACCTCACTCTTACAATTACGAAACACCCAATAAGGCATGACGCAATAATATTATTTATTTGTAGAAATATTTTCAAATTATTCAGTGTGCCAATATTTAAAAATACCCGATAATAAATTATGATTATAAGTTTATCATCCTAGCACTTCAACAAAAAACTTATATCAAACTTTTTTAATAAGACTTGAAACTCAATTTCTCTTTCCATCGTGATGCTTTGTAGTTTGTATTTTTGTAATCATTTTTTATCGTCATTATTTATTTATTATGATTTGCGGACTTCACGCCAATTTTGAATTTATTTTTTTTTACAGGTATGGCCGGTGGAAGTCTATCCAAGTGCCAATCTCCTCCACCTGTGATGACTCAGGCGCGCAGAACGATTACCCCTGATAATCCTGATCCGGCCGAAGTCATTACGGAGGTAAATATAAAAACACATTCAACTTGTCCATTAATAAAATATACCAATTTATTGTACTATAATCGATTTTTCTTTAGTCAGCAATTTCGATGCTGAGAAATTCAATCTCTTGAAAACTGTTAGCAATAAGATTGATAATAGTATTTAAATTAAAAGGTTTTTCTACTAAAAACGCAATGAGCTTTGTATACTCGCTTATATTTATGCACGATATTATTATATTGATTTCGTTATGGTTATTACTTATTTTAACAGATAGTAAATAACAGTCTTAAATATTACGTTCATTACATATTTTAAGAAAATATATGTCTTGATAAACTCTATGAGGGCCTATGAATAACGACCAATTAGTGTACATTGCAGAAGTTCTCAAACTATTTTGGTTCACGCCTTTCTAAGCATTGGATGTTACTGACGGGCAGCCACCGGTCGCAATCATATAAATAAAAACATTTTATTTATTTTATGCTTTTATTAATAACGCTGCGCTTAATTTCAATATCGCGATAACGAATAAATTATTACACTAATAATACACTCAAATGAATAAATAAATATTATTGATTCAATGTTTTTTTTTGTTTTTTTTTTTTTTACTCAGACCATAAAATTAGAATATTAAAATATACTATACTCGTATTTACTATTTAGTACAATAAGAAATTGAGAACAAATAAAAAAATACTTAAAGTTACAACGCCTTGTATTATATTCCTATCATAAATTTCTATCATTGAAACAATAAGCATTCTGGACAATAATTATTATGCCCCAACTACTTTCCCCATTCGGCCTTTCAATGTCCTTCTCCACGTATTGGTCAAGAGAAATATAAAAAAAGTTTTAACTAATTTATACCTATACGTATGATATATATATGTGTGTCGATTAGGTAGCTGGTCGTTAGTATAATATAAAGCTCATAAGTTATAATATACAATAATAATTATTAATATTTGATTTCGGTAGGTATTGTACGTTATATTATTGAAACAATTTGGACATACGCGTCCATAAAAGCGGCGGCCAAGGGATACGATATGCGACTTTATAACTGCCACCTGTTCTTTCGTACATTAAAACGTGGTACACTAGTTCCAATATTTCGTATCACATAATATTATATATTTACACGGTTCCATTCCATGTCACCGCTTAATCGACCTCGACGGACAAATTGGATCGTACAAGCCTATATGTACGCATCCTAGAAATTCGCTATATTTTCCCTTCAAATTAAACCAGAGAGTTTTTTTTTTTTTAATTTCCTGGAACAAATCGATGTAAAAATGAGATGTACGTACCGGTTAATTATTTATCAACGGGCCGGAGGAGTTACGCCGATTTCGATTAATTGTCTCCGCCTACACTTTTAGTATTTTCCCTAATTATGCCATCACATTTCAATAATTAATACAATAAGAATAAAAATTGACTACTGGGGAGAGAATGAAGGGGGGAGAAACCAATTCGCACACGACTTTCTGACTATACCGGTGTAACACAATTTTGGACCGCATCGATTAACGGGTAGTAACAAATCAGCACCAGTTCGTCCCATCGAGTTACTAGGTTACATGGGCGTAGGTAGGAAATATTTTCGGAAGGGGTTTTTGTCTAAATCCTAAATAATATGCGAGTTAATAATATCCTCGAACAAATTCACAAAAAGCTCAAGATTGTTTCATTTAATTTCGGGGGGTGCTTGAACACCCAACCCCCCCCCTTACCTACGCCCATGCTAGGTTATGATGCGAGACTAGGGTCAATTGCAGTAAACGACCGTCGTATGCGAATCCTATAGCTAACTGAACCAGTGAATAACATTGGTCGGTGACTAATGTGATTACAATCCTCGGGAAATGAGTGACGCGTATCGTCGGACCGGAAGCGACGAGGCTCGCAATTATTAATACAGTTATACGTGTACGGTGATACTTTAGTTTTTCCGAGTGTCACATGACACAATAATGGCAACACCACACCATTTTCTTCAGACTGACTGATCACGTCTACGGAAATTATCACGGTTACCCGCTCACGAGTATACCGCATTCAATGTTTCATTAGCCGTTGATTGCGGTCTTAAAGTTAACATTGAAAACCGGATGGCGAGTGTTGGACGCTGAATTAACGGTCGGGGGACACAGTTTTCTTTTATGGCCTACGTGTTGATTACCCGGTCACGAACAAGCCGAGTTCATAGGGACATTGTCTGTCGTGTCGTGTGAATTTTAACGTATTCTGCAATTGACTGTTGTATAATATAATCATGGCATCATTCACAAAACATGATGTGCCGAGAAATTTCTAGAGTTGGGGTGAGTTCAATTTTCGGACGTGGACACAGATTTATACACTAACTATAGATCAATTTTAATATAGTACAACAATATAATACATATAGACTTAACACCGAAGGCAATTATAGCTATATGCGAGTGTCGAGCGGTTCTATTGTCAATCAAATCGTTTTTACGTCGTCGTCAGTGATTACAAATTTCGATTACAAATGTTTGCGAGCTCATTTTCTGATGATAATACGAACTGAGGGTACCTCAGGTCCGAGAAGTTCGCCGTTTAACGTGATTATTTTTGTTCCGAATTTTCTCAAAAATATGTAAGTTTATGTAAGCACAAATTGGGAATTTTTAAGTACAACCGTTTTCAATCATCCACAAAAGCTTAAATCACGGCTGACTTCTGCGAAACTTGGCCATTTTATCATTTCATACTTTTCAAACGAGCCAAGATGTCCTGCGAAATTCGTAAGTATTTGTAAGCACGAATACAAAATGTGTAAGTCATCCCTCCCATAATTATTATTGGTAAAAAGAAGTTAGCAGTGCTTTATCGGGATTTTTCAACAAATGTACCCTTGCTTACAAATACTTACAAATTGCACAGGGTACTTTGCACAGTCAAAGTTGAAAAAGCTCGATAACGCATGGCCAACTACTTTTTAGGGATAATTAAGGGAGGAATGACTTATAAAATTTCACATTTAAGCTTTTGTGGATAATTGAAAACGGCTGTACTTACAAATTCCCAATTTGTGCTTACATAAACTTACAAATAACTTACAAATGTTTTAAAAAATTTGGAACAAAATTATTCACGTTAAGTGGCCAACTTCACAGAGCCGGGTTCCTCGCTGAGTCGAGTGAAGTGTTAGATCAACGTCATAGTAATAGCGTGTTACTCAATGTTAGTCACAGGTTAGGTTGATTGATTAACAAGTGTATTTGGGGCAAGAATTCATCACTGAAAACCCTGTGACCCCTGTGTCCGTGCCTATACACTTAAACATATAACTATTAGAGGTACCTGTATTTTTTTGAAATGAATAAACATGTTTAATGAGTTGCATAATTACTTTAAGATAAAAATTAAAATGGACTTTAATAAAATTGTTAAGTCAAATATATTTCTTTATAATTTCGCAAAAAATATTTTATGCATTAAAAAATGTCTACTTACACGTCATATCGTCATGTTTTTTTGTTATTTCGCATAACATAATATTATACATAATACATTTACTTCTGTATCAAAAATAAAATAACAATAATATAACAAAGTACACCCAATTATTTCTGCGAGCATGCAGTAGTTTATAGCATGAACAATGGTTATACATTTATAATTACTTTTTACTACTTCAGGGTTAAAAAACATAATTACAAATATAAAAATGTATAATATGCATAAGGTGTTGTATTTCTCTCCCGAAAAATATAAAATTAAAAATGTATTAAAAGGCGTGTTTTTACTTTTTACTTTTTATACATACCAACAATAATACACTACGAAACTTCCTATATTAATACATAATGTAATCACTATTCAATCGATGTGCAAGTTAGAGTTCATTAGAGTCGTGTTTATAAAGTTTTCTTCTGGTTTATGCACGATCCATGTACGAGTGTCAGGTACAACACACCGATATCAAATTCAAAAAGTGTTGGTCACCACTTGACCTCGTTGATTTATTATTTTTGCTTTTCGTACAAATTGTACAGAGTCTAAAAAAAAATGTTTTTTTTTTAAAGTTACAGGAAATGCACAAAATACTATAGTAATACAAATAAGCATTTTACAACGGCGTACACGTAGTATAATAATTGTTTTTATTACTCGAACGGGTAGCTGCATATTTATAATAATTAATGGGATCTGAACATTATTTTCAATTAATCATCCCCGTCGTTGTCATAATAATATATCACCCTTGTTAGGTTGAAAATAGGATAATAGCTCATTATAATAATTAGGTAAGTATTTCAAATATTTGCTGCGGTGTATCATTTACGTAAAAAAATAATAAAATATTTACGATAACTCGAATACCTAAACGTTTACTGGTTAAACTATAGTGTACATATTATTATGAATTGTATTACTTAATCTTTTTATTTACAATCCTGATATAGATACTACAACAATAAACTATAATATAGACCAAAGATAATATAAATATATAATATTGATAAATAACCATAATCGTGATATCGTAGTAAATATCTTGTGACCATGATGGACATAGTAAACAACTAGAAAGCCGACTACAGGAGAAATATTGAATTCGATGGCCATATTATAGCCACAGGGGAAAATTGCATGATCGATAATATGCATGCATTTACAATACATATATCATATAAATATGTGTAGGTGTTTTATCTATTGAGTTATTTTGTAAACATTGCCCGGTTGACGTATGGTCGCACGGCTTCAACGTTCCTGTGGGAATGCAATACGCAGTCCGCCATCTAGCTGTTCTATAAGTCTATGCTTGTGACTGACTGCGCATTGAACGAGTACAAAGCGGTTTCTTTCCTTTTCGACATTTCTGTTAAAAATCGATCACACGCCATAATATGATGTGTCGATGAATATGGCCTCAAGTAATCACATGTAGTTCAAATATTAAAATATTTACCCATAATATTTCGTGTGTATACATTTTACGTACATTTTATGCTTTTTAATATGCTGAATATCAGATGAATCGTGTTACTTTTAAGATATGATCAACTCGAGGCAATAATCATATCTATACTATAGAACCTACGATCCGAATGACTCTGATAATCCGCTTTGTTTATTAAAAAGTGGAGTTGTATTTTTACATTGGTATGAGTTTTCATAAAACGACGGCGGGACTTGCCGACGGAGTAGCCGATTTTATTTGCATTTTCCCTTTCAATTATGTGTAATAATACATTACCTCGCTAACAATAACGTCAGTCGCTAACAATTTTAATATGAAATTCGATATAAATTACCCCACTCCTTTAATTAATTACGTTATTCTTCCTCGATATCATTTATACCCCTACTAGGCACCGGTGGGTAATCTAATTACAGCACAGTATATCATCTCGTCTATTCGATATAATAGAAGAACTGAACTACCCATTCTATATAATATTCTACATTTATACACGCGTGTTGGTTATAATATTATCTTACGCACGCGCAATATATATAGTTAATTAATAACTATAAACAAGTGTAGGCCCAAAGGATCAGTGTCGTCGAACTGATGAACTGGAACTGGAACTGGAACATAATTGCACTGAGCCCCGTACACAATTCTCATAGGACTATTTGATAATAACTAGGTCGTCATAAAAACGAAAACCTAAATATATGCACTCTCGTATGTGATGTTACAAAATGGAAAGAGGATTTTTTTTTCATCATCATTTTTAGCGCCGTATTTGACGTATTTCCGTGAAAACTCGGTTGGATTGCATGTTTGTTCGTATGGCTCCCGTAATATTCAGGCTGTAAGTCTGTAACAGAATTATTAACTGAAACAATAATAATATTACATATATACTAACCACATTCTAATAAATTATGTTCAGATCAATATTTTAATATTATTTTCTGTTAAATTAACTATGATATATTTTTTTTTTTATATTTGACAGTTATATCTTTGACCCTGTTAGACACAAAACAATGCAGATAAATAATAGCTCAGTTTTTGCAAAGAGCATAGGTCCACACAACACTTTGAATCGAAAAATGTATACGATTCTGCCCCAACATATTAAATTTTCCAATGTATCTTGGTACCTACCTTTGTGATGTATTATATATGTTATTTGTCGATACTTCCTTGTATTTGTATTATTTTTAGTTTAATTTTTAACATACATTAATCCAACAAAGCCATGTTTATGGAAGCTTATGGGATCTTTTTGATTTTATGGAATAGTTAATTTTTTTTGCACGCATATCAATAAAATATTAATAGAACGTGTCTACATGTGTTATAAATCATAACATACTCTATGGGTTTTGCAATACATAATAATACTTTTGTGCGATATGAACAAACCGATTGCGGTAACCGAAGTACTTTAATACCTACAGTAAAACAAATAGACTTAAGCTGTTCCAGTTCCAAAACAAACATTCGTATGTGAGTCATAGTTTATTCTGAAACTAAATGTTCAGATAATAAAAATAACTTAAGCAAGTATAACCCTACTGAAGTGGTTTCGCCTTCCTTCAATCACAAAATCGAGTTTTTTGTTTGTTACTTATTACAATCACCAAATACATTTTTTTTTAAATTATATACATTGTAAGTTCACTATATTTAATTTAATTTATAAATTTTAAAATCTTTGTGTTGATCGAGAAGGCATCTCCTTTGTAGTTGTACTACTATATCAATATACAAGATGATACGCCAAGCATTCGCCCCCATTTTCCCCTTTAATAACAAAATTATTCAAATTCCGGTTTTTGTAATTTTTCAATAACCTCAAAGATCATTCTTTGTAAAATATTCTTGAATGCTTGTATACTGCAGGTACTTTACTTTTGTACTATACCTAAGTAGTGTCCTACAGTATTGTGGTGATTCAAAGTTCTGTTTTCAAATGAGAACAATCCTTTTTTACTGTAAATTATTCAGTGAATATTTTATTTGAAAATGTCTATGTACCCAATATTCAAAATTCGAATGAGTAGTTTTTCAGTTATTAAAATAACAATTAGAACACACTTTCACAAAATGTGTTCACACACACACACACACACACACACACACACACACACACACACACACACACACCGCTCCTCTGAGAGAATCTAAAATCGATATCACAAAAAAATACTCACATACAAATGAATAATATAGTGCGTAGGTTTAATTAGAGATTTCATAGAACTGCAGTGAACGAATGATTAACAACGAATTGATAGAATAGTATTATTTACAATAATATTACGGCAAACAATTTGCGCCTACCTACTGTTATTATTATATCGTATTCGAATTCGATAAACCATAGTGAACCATAGTGCTGATGGTTGATGGAACTATTTCAATAATTTACCGTATATATTCGAAGGTCACGCTTACACATATTATAATGTGTACCCATTTACAACTGTTATTTTGATTCAATGAGAATGAATAAAATATACCTACACTTTATTTTTTATATTAAAACTGTAAAGTTTACAGTGGTAAAAAAAAGAGCGAGAACGAAACCATTCTCTATAAATAAATCTTTTTAATGTACATCGTAATTGGAATTAGTAAAATTACAATTTTCAAAAAATAAACACATTTTTCTACCTTACCTTACTACTGCTTTATATCTGGTGCCAGTGGATAGCTATAATAACTACCGTTTTTTGCGCTTGTAAAAATAATATGAATACAAAATAATAAGTAAAAGTAAAATGCTACCTAGTAGTTATTTTAATTTTTAAATATAGGTAGGTACTATAAATGTATAATATTGTATACAGTGTGGTAAAAAATACATTACATTTTAAGTTTATTACCGAAAGTTTTGATAATGTTAAAATTAATTTAATATACTAGAATGTATACAGAAAACTTTTTAAAATTAATAAAACATAGAATAACTATTTGGTAAATTATAAAGAGAAAAAAAAATTATTTATAATGAACAGAAGGAAACAAATAGGTATAGGTATTATATGCAGATTTTAGTCGTTACTTCTAGAAAGGATATGATTGACTGCTTTTTCTATATTATACGAAAACTGTATGCATAATTTAACAATACAATTGGTAATAATTTAGTTTACAAAAAAAATGGTTTTTGTACAGAATCTAAAATTGTTTTTATTTGCTATATCATCAATTAGATTAAAATTATATACAATTAAAGCATATTCATTATGAATTATGAGTATTCAATTTTTTTAAATTTTCATTGTTGATCCATTTAAAGTGTATAAATACAGAGATGTTATGTTAGATTTTTTTTATGATTGCAATTTAACAGTACTCAGCAAATGGTATACTAATATCGAACGAATTTAAACAAAAAAAGTATGGTTATTTTAATATTCTCTTCAGATCAACTTATAACCCTATATTATTTTTAAAGATAGGTAGAAAAATAAAATTGATAAGATAAAAATGTATAGGGTTTTTTCATTTAGCGTAACTGTATATTAAGTCATCATAATTTATTTTTGATGATCGAATATCTAGCTACGAAAAATGCAGATAATATTTTATGTATCAAATATTAATGTTTAAACAATTATATTTTGTATATAAGATATGCTTTTATTCGGTAAGCGTATAACACTTTATTCGAACACCATAGCTTTAAATTATTTGTGTACCTATCAAGTTCTTGTGTACAAGTATCGTCTGTCATTTAAATTTAAACCCAATCGTGGGTCAAAGTACGAACTTAGAAAAATTGCTATTCGAAAAACATCGTAGACACGGCACACTTAAGTATTTTAAAAATATAGCTGCACTGATGCCGATAAAAATATAAAATGTAAAATACGAGTCAATGTAAAATTACCTGTTATTTTTCTCGCAAGGCCGGAAGGCGCTGCGCGCCGTGTGATTGTTCAATGGTAGTTTAAATATTGACTGTTACTACAACAATTATTTTTTCACCGGATCGATTAATCGTATAATTCTGTGAAAAACCTTTAAGCGATTGTATTGCACAATAAATAGCGTGTCGCGTCACGAGATTACGACGATATTTCCACTGTAATGGTACTTAAATACGAAAATCGAGAAAAAAAACTGTTGTAATATTATTAGGTGTATTATTATGTACCTATGATTGCGCAATGTCAACGAGATTAGATTTCTCACCAGTTCAGAACAACGCGGCCGTAAGACAAATACATCGATCATAACTCAAAATAAAGATAGAACAATGTACAATGTACAGGATGATTCACCAAGCCACTATTATAAGCATGCTTATAACGCCGTTTTATCGTGTAATTTTGAGTCTATTGACTGTCTGATTTTTTGGAATTTTCTATTGGACTTAGAGGTCATATTTAAAAATACTTAAATTTGTGTACGACATTTAAACTCTTCCATTTCAAATAATTATAGGTACGACTTTTACATTTTTTTTTTTCAAATAATAAAGTACTAACATTTATTTGTCATAATTATTATTGTCTAATCATCATAAATACTCATTGGTCTTCTATACCTATCAACTATCGTCATGGCTTAATAATTATTCTTGGTACACATCTCGTTATTTAATAACTTAAAAAAAACTATCCTCACTCGAATTTCGATTATGTAGATTTTCATTTATCAATATTAATCGTTGGATTTTCGATTATATAGTAAAACGGTTTTCATTTGAAGATCATCACAGAAGACCGAACTCTAGCTATTTAAATTATAAAAAAAAACGAAACATTTTAAAATATGATCTTTAATACGTTTACTTAAGAGTTCAGAAAACTACATTTGATTGAATCACTCATAAAGGGTAAAAAAGAGTGAGCATTTTCGGTGCCCACTCTGTATATTATATCTACTTTATTGTTATATCTTTGTCAAACACTCTCATTCGGTTGCTTGATACGTTCTGCTCGGTGGATTGCATTCTTATAATTGTATTCAGGTGCACTTACCCACACATGCACTCTAATATTTGTAATATGCCGTAATCGTTGCGTTTGCGCAGAACCCCAGTATGCCGATGGCCAGAGCCGGTTGGGTACTGCGCACGCTGTTGCTCAGTGATCAAAACACCGTACTCAGGGACCGGAAGACCGGTGGTGGCCGATCCGTGGTCCGGAGGTGCGCTTCCGGCAGTGAGCTCATCGACTGGCTGATGAACCTTGTATCCACAGACCACGATTCGTTCAGCAGACATGACGTGATTGGCATGTGGCAAGCTCTGCTTGAGGAAGGAGTCATATCGCACGGTGAGACAAAAATAATACTAATCGCCACGTCAATATACTTTTCTTCGTTGTTGTTGTTATTATTATTATTATTAATATTGATATAATAATATTATATCCAATGAATTAATATATTATTATTATTTTTTTTTTTAATTTTTTTTTTTTTTTGAGACATCTTTAAAATTACTTTGTGTTAAACGCCAAACAAGAGTTTCTCTGATTATGCAAATATCTCGCTACATAGCTTTATCTTATTATTTTTTTCATTTGGGCATCGCCGTCTTTCTTGTATATTGTTAATCAATTGACTTTTTGAAAATGTTGATGTATCTAAATTGCGTTTGTTTTTAACGAGTGGTTTTTTTAGATATTGGTCCTTGATAATTAGGTTTAGAAGATAGTATATTAAACTACCTTTCAACAATTTATAACTTGTTTATATACTGAAAATAATAAATATAGGATCCAACTGTATATTTATTACATATTTTTTTAAACTATTTTTTAAGACTATTACCAATACTTAAGGTATTTAATGCTGGATATAAAAGAATTCAAAAGTTTGAAATTGTTAGCAATTGCAAATAATTAGTAACATTTGGAATTTAATTTTTGTCTAGTTGACTTTTTACTTAATTGATATTCACTTAACAAAAAATAAAGAGCTACCTACTGTCGATCAAATCCAAGTTACGTATATTTATAAATAAATAAAATAAAAGGATTTTATTTGATTTTAAATGTATTTCTTTTAACCATTTTCCAGAAACAATCAAGGCGAATAACTATTTTTTTCATTAGAATTCATTCAAACCATCTATTAGCTCTTTCACCTTTTGTATGTTTAGAACAATTTTGACTTAGTTTGATTTTGTAAAATAATTGTTGATTTCTATATTTGTTACTCATAACTAAATTTAGTTTAAAAAAATAAGTGAACTTATTAGCTCGAAACTTTAAAAATATATATATTAATAAACTTAACTCAACCTAGTTCAAAATATCATTAAATTGCCCAGCCTATTAATATACATTTTTATAACTCAAAAACTACTTGTTTAAATTTTTATTTCAATGGGTAAATCAGTGATAATCAGTGAAATGTTTATAAAATACTACTTCAAAATCAGTTTAAAAAAAAATCATCTGCTTAGAAAATTCGCAGTGCAAATCATTAGTTCTCATTTAAATCTACATCCACCACAGCCCACAAGACACTTCTTAAATAGTACAAAAATTTAAGTATTTTAAAATATAATGCTATGTAAAATTAAAATTCCAAAATGTATTTAGTTGTTGAAGAATAAAATGGGGGCAACATAATTGGTGAATAACCCAATATAGCGAGGATTGGAAGGAATCAGGAAATTAATATGTTATGTATATGTACAAGTAATTAATACAATATATGATATTCTTGCTGTTTTTAAATAACTGTCAGAGAAGAAAACCAGATAATCATGTAAAAATTATGATATCTAAACATCCTAGAATAATCTAAGCTAGCTATATAATTGTATTATCAACGTATTCTATAAGTACGGATCAATACAAAGATTAAAACTACATTATACCATGTTATCCAAACAGCTACCGGGGAACATCCGTTTAAGGACAAGTGTCTATTCTACAATTTTTGGCAAGACAGAGAAGGTGCTCTAAACACACCCACCATACAAGACGTGGCCGAGGCCGAAGAACACCTAGACGAGGCGTTGCAGGAACTTGTCCACAGGGGACCGGACGCACACTTACGCCTGATCCTTCGATCACCGTAAGTGACCTTGACAGTTATATAGATCATATATATTTATGATGAATAAATCACGATACTCCTGTGATTGTGTTCGGTAGGAGCTCTGAGAGGACGCCCGAGGACTTGGAGCTGATATTTGAGGAGCTGAACGAGCAGAAAGCTCTTGCTCATCTGCCAAGCTCGGTGAAACGGGAACTGGCATCTGTTGTGGTGTTTGAAGCTCATCCAAAATCCGGCCATACACGTAAGTACATCACACCTGCAGTTCTTAAAGCACAATAATATTTAATATTATAATACGGTGGGTAGATGACCAATAGGAATAGGTGGATAATGGGGGAGATAGGATCTTAGTTAGCCGCACCCTAAATCAATCGTTATTAAATAAATAAGAAAAGAACTAAACATTTTATTCTTCAAATATAATATATCCTTTTCATTTATCGATATGTCGCACATAATAATGAACACAATAGTTTAAAATTACTTGATCGAAACTATTATTCAAAAATACACAAAAAATCTCTGAAACGTGCAAAATAAAATTGTTTCATATTCAATTCAGCGATGTTGCACTTACTAATATACAGTGCAGATATTGGATTTCTGTGAGGCCACAATAATTCAAGTTACTCAATATGTCAGTAGTAATTATAAGACGTTGAACAACTTTAGTAGGGGCACGAAAAAAAATTGGCCGTCCATGCATCTCTTTTCCATGAAAATTTTACCCAAATATCAACCAATTTTCGCGTATGGAGGGGACGCACGTTTTCACTATACAATGCTTTACTAACATAATAACGCTATTATGATCACTCCGTACGCTTCCGGACGATTATTATTATAATACCGTTCAACTGGAAATACGGCGTGGTCATGATTTCTCCTTCGATTATTCACGAATAATGTAACTCGCGCCCGGAAACCTAGTAAACCGTAAACGCGACGAACACCGCATATAGCTAACACATAATATGCACCGACCATGCATTTCGTTCGTTGACAAACCTCTGGCGGTTCAATACCTACTGCGATCGTAACACCTCTCCGGGGGTCTTGTGTATTCTGTCACAGTGTTCCGTCAAGGGGACGACGGCAAAGCGTGGTACGTGATTATGCAGGGAGCGGTCAGCGTGGAAACCTACTCCAAAGGCGTCGTAGAATCGCTGTACGACGGCGAAGACTTCGGTGGCCTGGCGTTAATACACAACGTTCCCAGGTATTTTATGAATCGTGATTTTTATAATATTGTTACATCGAGTGCAATAATAATAATATCATTGTGTGTTAATACATACGACTCGTTTGAAATCTCGTAGATCGGCCACCATAACCGTCAAAGAAGACAATACCCATCTGCTGCGTGTAGACAAAGACAGTTATAATAAAATCGTGAGGGACATCGAAGCAAATACCGTCAGGCTGAAAGAACTCGGCAGTGACGTGTTGGTATTAGAAAAATCTCCACGATTGCACAAGTATGACTTTTTATACAAACCATAACTAACGTTCGTAGTTCGTGTTTTGTTACATGATAATATAATCAAATAGTGACTAATGGTTATGTTAAATTATTAAGATACATGATTATTGCTGGAACTCCTCAAAAAATTCTAGAACATCTACTAGAGCACAGACTAAGTAGTACGAATGTCGCAGGCTCCAGGAACGACCCGTGTCTAGACGATTTTTTACTAACGCACATAGTGTTTATGCCTACCAGAACATTAGTGTCGGAACTCAATAAATAATATCCTTTTATAAAAGAACACCAAAAAATAAATAAATTATTTATAATATTCTGTTAAATATTTGGATCTTCTTCCTTAACGCTTATGTTCACTTACCATATGGAAAATCCAGCCCAGGACAGAGAGTACACCATCAACTGTAAAAGAAAAGTAGTGCAATTCGTATACAGATGGGTGGTGACCATAAGACACCCGGTATTTGACGACGTAGTCTCAATGTCATTTCTCGAGGTATTTTAAATTTCATGAACTAAATATCGATTGCACATTAAAAACATTTTTTTTTTTTATTAGGAACTGGCAAGCGACGTGGAAGCCGATTGTCAACTGTTGGGTGGCAAGAGTCAAGCTTTGCAAGAGGAAGCTAGTCTA